CAGAATATGGCCAATATATGTTCCATATATAATATAAAAATATTAATAAAGTAGCATCTTCCCCCTTGTGCCATCTTTCTCCGATTTACTTTATACATAGCAAGCGCGCATCATAAATATGTAACGGACGGATTACAATAGAATTCCTCATAGCAAAAAAACGTCAAAGTTACATTACAACAATCATGGTTACGTCATAGTGACGTGCGAATGTCCGCTTTATCATAAATGTGATGTTACAGCAATGTCATGGTGATGTGCGAACGTCTTTGTAACATGTGTTATTTTGTGACAATCTCATAATGATATTTTTTCTTGATTATTGTGACTCTATTGCGACGTGACCCATTGCTATGGAAGTTACTTGTCATCGGTAATACAAACTATTGACTCAAAATGTGTTTAGGTATTTGTTTTAAGTTTTTTTTATCAGAGGTTATTATATGGCCCTGGAATAGCTGATTAGCTGTAAATAATCAAATACAGGCGTAAATAACAAATAACTTGAAACTTTAAACGCATTTTTCTTGAAACATTTTTCGTTCTAACGGAACTGATAGAGCAAAAGCTATTAAATGTATTGCTTTCAAAATTTGCACAATTACAGAGCAATGTTTTTTCTACTGGATAGGGCTACAATTATATCAAAATATATCAATAATACTTTTTTTATCGCAAAAACAAGAGCACAATTTAAGATAAAAAATCGAACTTTTCTTTCAAATAGTCTCCATTTTATTAATTTTTATTCGAAGTCAATTATCATAATCTATTCAGTAGACATATTCTTTCTGAATAGGAAAATCGTTTTTTGATGACTCTTTCAGATGACTGGTGCGACCTGCCCCTGTATTCTGTAACTCATTGTGACAGTAATAATATCGTTATATTGTCGTTGCGCAGATTTTGTACACAGTAAAAAAAATTGCGCAACGAAATATAACAATATCCTTAAGGTCTAAACATAATCCGAAGCAATGGCGATAGTATAGCGATAGAAATAATATAGAAATATAAAAGAGATATATAAACTATCGCCTCCCGTTGCACAATGCGACGAAAGAAATAAAGGCCAACCAATCAGATCGCATACTGTAGTACGTTCTTCTGCTTCAGTAGATGTAATCTAAAAACGTTAAGTCACATTAAGTCATTACAGGACAAAAATTGCCTTCAATTAAGTATTTTTTAAGCAGATCGATTAAAAGTTTGTCATCGAATTTTTCATTATCGCCCACTTAGTTATCATCGATGTCTTGTAAGTCATAATGTACTATCCGTATGGTAATTATTATTACAATAATTGAAATGATCCATTTTTTAAGTTTATCACAATCAAACTAGGAGTCGAAACTGGAATTGAACGGATATTGACAGATATCGTGAAAAGAGGTTATAGCGTAAATAAACAGAATGAAAAATCTGAACGCTGATTGATAGGCTATAAGGCGATAGATACAGAATTCCAACTCGGCGGAAATTTATCGCTATCGCCTTATTTCATGTTCCTATGTGCATTGACATATGTATTTCCGTATGTTGGATTCCTCTGTTCCTACCGCTATCGCTATTGCCTCGCATTGTGTTTAGGCCTTTACTGTCATAACGAGTTACAGAATGCAGGGGTTGCAGTATTTCCATTTTGACGCAATGTTCAAGTCAGAGAGGCTTCTTCCCCGAAATTTTACGTAGATTCACAGTCAACAAATTGACTTTATAAAATTTAAAATTAAATAGAAAAATACTTAGTGAGAAAATGACAATAAAATCGATGTCAATTCCATTATTATTTCTCACTGGGTACAACAAATAACATGTAAAAACATTGGATGCGTCCCGAGTGAAGCGCATGATGCATCATTGTCCTTGTTGTTCGCCAAATAATTAAGAAGGATAAAACGATACGTTATGCGCTTCATACGTAACTCGGAACACAATGAAATATGTATCTTCGTTATTTTTCCCGAAAATATTCCCAAAAATCACCCTTTTTCAGGCCACAAGGTAGAATGGATCTTTAATATTTTATTGTTCTTGATCGATCTTGGTGCGGCGATACCTGCATTTAGATATGTATTTCCCTGTTGTACTTTACCCTACAAAATCGCCGTACATTTCGGATTCTACCGTAGTAAAATGATATATCTCGGCGAGAACAGGGTGGTGATTTCGCTCGCAGATTTTTTGCAGAAAGTTGGGTTCCTCCTAGTTTTTCTTAAACAGTGATCGAGAATATACGCGACGAATTTAAAAGTAACTTTAAAATACAATTAACCGCGTCTTTCTGCGGCCGCGACTAGAATTTCTCTGTAAATAGAATTTATTATTAATACGTTAAACACGATGTCGGTCTCTGGGGACCGATATTGAACTTTCCGTTTAAATAGTGTCGGTTTATAAAGATGCGGTAGTAATCAATTTATCTTCTTATGGGCTTACAGTTACGACTAAAACTTTTACGTGCAATGGCCTCTAAATGACTCGCCTTCTTACAGTTTCGCTATCTCTCGTTATATTTCTTAAACTTACAAATTGGTTGAGAGTTTTTCCCCGCTTAAACGGAAATTAAAACAAAATCAGCTTCGCGTTTAACGTATTAATAATAAATTAATAAAAAATTTACGATAACTTCTAGTCTCTGAAATTAAGCTAAACATTCAATAGGAATCTTAGGGCGCGTTCATACCTTGACGGAAAAGCAGACACCGGAAAAGCAACAGCCAATTAGAACTCGCGCTGGTAGTCTACATTTTCGGCTTTTTGTACTACTTACTATCAGCACGAATTCTGATTAGCCACTACTTTTCCGCTTTCTGCTTTTCCGTCAAGGTGTGAACGCGTCCTTACGGCAAATGCAAATCTTGTTTAGATCGACAAACGCGGATAATTCTTATTCATAATCGTTATCTCTCTTTCTCTTTGTGTGCAGTCGCTATATGGAATGACACTAAAAATATATCTCTACTCGCGTATAACTCATATGAGTCGGTAGATATGTTTCTTCCTCGAAACTGCATTCATCCGCTCACTTGAAATAAATATTCCTACGTAAAAAGAACTTGAGACTATCGCAATAACAAGAATTTAATCAATAGTTTATTGTAAAGTCTGTAGACGTATCATTAGTGTGTATTTTGTTGTGTGTCAATTTATCAATTCTATATTAAACAATGAATTTGATAAGATTGTGTTTAATCTGTAAACGCGATAAACACGTATGTTAAAATTCTGCGTTTTTTATAATAATACGAAATATTTGCGGACAGTTTATAAATCTAAACGATATTTTTTCTCTTTATAACATACAAAGTAAATAAATGCGATCGGAATCATTTATTATTAGCCTCCTACAATGTTTTGATATTTATGATTTTATATTTCTATGTTAGGCGTCATTTCTGTATGTGTGCTTTCTCTTTTGCGGCCCCACGGAATAGGAGTTTCTTACCCTCAAGTCGGAGATTTCGTCAAAGGTGGATCCATGGTAGAAGTGTTACTTCCACCATGGATAAATTGATAAAGAATCGATAAATCGCGGAAGATAAATGTCAACAGAACGTCGCTCATTTTCATAAGGGTTTTGGACCATCCGCGTCCAGTCATCAATCATATATAATTTTGTAGATAATAATAGTAATATTCAAGAAAAAGTAAATTAAAATTTTTTAATCCCCGCCGAAAGTGGTTCTGACCTCCTAATGATGTCATTTTATTCGATCGCTGGCTTATCATTTGAACTGTCCAACACTACAAATTTGTCATTGCTATATGCTCAGAAAATATTCGTATGTCATTGGGAAGGTATTTAGCATGTCCTAGGCACTAAATGATCGATATAATATGAGCAAAGCAGTCTATAATACGACCACCATTCTTACACATGTGCAGTGATACTCTTTAATAGCACCTTTTTTGTCACTATTATGTTCTGCCACAATTATAGACATAGTATCGTGTTTTATTAACATTCCTGGATTGTGTTAGAGCTTTAAGTAATGTTGGATTAACAATATCAATATTATAATTAGCGAGATTATCAGCTCCTATATCACGGCTTGGACGCAAAAAAAAATCTTTAGTAGAAGATAATAATAAAAACAAGAATTCTAGAAGTGACGTTCAACTATAGAATAAAAAATTTTAGATGATTGAAGGCATGAAAGCATCGTGAAAGCTTCGTGAAAGCATTGATAACAATGAAGATCAGAATGAACAATACAAAACTACTTTCGGCGAGGATTTGAGGATCTAAACTTACTTTTTCTTGAATACTGCCATTATTATCTACAAAATTATATATGATTAATGACCATACATGGATGGCCTAAAATGAGCGAAATTCTTTCTTACTTTCCTAACAAGATTTGACATCTGATATCTGTCCTAAGCCTCCGCATCTGATGATTCACATAAAAAGTGAAAATAAGCATTTTTGGGTATTTTCGCAACTTCGTGTTGACCTCGTTTTGAGAATTTATAAATCAAGATCCCATATCCCAGACGAGCAATTAGAAACTCAGAAGTTTAGAAGGTGAGAGTTATAATTGCACCCGACACACAAATTTTTGTCGGAAACTTTGAAACTCAATGGGTTAGAGGCACACACATACACATAATGCACACGTCCGCTCTACTGATACTTTCTACTTTTTGCACACTATTCTGTACAAGGATACAAGCACAAAGAAAGCAGATTTTTTGTTTTCCGAATCGGCGCGAGTTATCGGCGTTTAAGGTGGACACAGTAAATGCCTATTAAAAACCTGTCACTTTCTGAGTCAATGTCTTGTAATTAATTAGGGTAAATCCGGGAGAGATGGCGCTAGTTTTTTTAAAATGGTTATTATTGCTTCTCTCTCTCTCAATGATAATAGTAAAAAAAAATAAAAATACATATACATTGCTCAAAGACCCTAGGATATAGCCACATAGGTTATTTGAATGAAATACGAAATAATAACGTTTAAAGAAATGTTTAAAGAAAAGATGATTTTGGGCGTGTCTCCCGGATACTTTGGCGGTTACGCCGCACCCTGAGGGTGAGACGCTGCGTATTATTGAATACGAAACTATACTTTTTAATCATTTTATTATGAGAAACATATAATTGGATACAATTTATAGTTTGAAAACATTTAGGTTTATCAAGAAAATATTATATGTTGAGTTTTTTTTACATTTTTTTCTTCTTTTCTTCTCTCCCGCAGTTAATGCAAAATTCGCCGAAGATAGTGCACGATTCGTGCAACCATCGTTTGCAGCGAAGCCAGCTTTCTTTTTTAGTTTTATTTGAAAATAATTATCGTCGCATTCTTTGCACTTATTAATATCGTTTTTTGTTTCGTTCTTGCGCTTCTTTCTTTGTTTTTGCGTTAAATCCACTTTGTCATCATCGTTCCATAAACAATTCGAGTCCTCGAAATTCGAGTCTGTGTCTTGAAACTGCAATTTTTTTTCACACCTCGAGTAGATTTCCTTGTTTTATTTTTCTTGTTCGTTCTTTCTTGTATTGCCTCTTTATTTTCTGCAGAAGTCAACAGGACGACAGATTTTTTTTACTTGCTTTTATGAAGTAGCAGATAATGAAGGCACAGGAAAAATATCATTCAACTCTTTCGAAGGTATTCTCAATGCTGCAGAGTTAGTTGATAGTTCATCGCGCTGGAATGGCTGCTGAACTTCAAATTGTCGCTATGCGGATCGAGAAGGATTCGTATTTTCCTTATTTTCTTCTGGCATAGTCATTCTATCGGACATCGCAAAAAAGTGGTATGGGATAATGTTTCGATTAAAAGGGAAAATTCCTGTGAAGCCACTAGTACCATTTCCGACTGTTGCCGACTCATTAAAAGCCTTACAAATCAACGGATCAATTTGATATCGAGTCAGTTTACGGCCAATGTGCTGTTCAACCCATGTATTACTCTCTGCTTTAAAATACGCTTTGAATAGAGATAAAAAAAGGATTTATCCAGTCACTGAAGAGCATGTATGGTGTGCAGCGGTAGGCACAATAAGGAAACGTTGTTTTCATCTGCTACTTGAAGTAAACTAATTGATGAGCAGTGAGAGCAATGCCCATCGAAGATTAAAATGTTTCTACCAGGAGCATATGCTCAACCGTTTTTATTGTTTATTTATTAGCCATGTATTGAGGACAATTTTCTACCAGGAGCTTTCCGAGGCAAAAATTCTTCTTTGAACCACTTCATAAATAATTCAGAATTAACGTAAGCTGACTTTTCGTTCGTGTACACAGTCGACCCACGAGGGAGATTATCTTTAAATTCTGCCTTCAAATTTTTACCTTTATAAACCAAAGTAGGTGGAAGAAATCTACCTTCCGCTAAACAGCAGCATATTAGTGTTACAGTTTCGCTTTTTTCGCCTGTTGTCATTTTATGAACAACTTTTGCCCCTTTGGAGATAACTACTTTGCCGACTTTATTTATGAGCTGAATATCAGACTCGTTCATATTGAAAATATTCTGAGGCTTATCTTGAAGATTGTACTTCTTCATTTCGTTCTCCAATATATTATAGAATTGTTGGACCTTTACTCTAAACAGACCTCGAGCTCTAGCCATAGATAATCCTTCAGCTTGGCGTACCGAAATGTCTGGATTTCTTCTAAGAAATGACCACAACCAATCGTAGCCAGCCATTTTCTTTTGTTAAACTTATGATTAAGATTTAAGATTTCGGCAAGTTCAAAAGCCAGTCGTTGAACTTTTATTCGGTCTGGACAGAAATCAGCAACACACAGTTGTTTTATGTGATCGACCAACTTCCTTTCATTTTCTGGGCCAAGGGAACCTGAAATACCAAACATGTTATAAATTGGCTCAGTTTTTACCAAAGAGCATTATTAAAAATTTTTTTAATAGAAGACAGAGAAATGATTACAGGTGGGTCCATGTACGGGCTGTTCAAAATTTCTCGATTTTATTCTCCTTGCTATCGTACGAGCAGGCACTCCATAACATCGTTCCGCCTCTCTGATTGATATATTTCCTGCCTCGATTTGGGCAATTGCTTCTTGAAGTCTCTATGGTCCCACAATCCTCGAGGCTTCACGCCTTTCTTGCGTTTATAAAAAGTTGGCATCGTTTTCCCCTTAATATAACATCTGAATTTTTCCGTATCTCCTTCAGTTTCTCAGAAAATCGGCTATATCGATTAGAATGAGACACCCTGTATAAATATACATGTTTATGTGTATGTGTGTGTATCATTTAATATACATGTTTATGTGTATGTGTGTGTATAATTTATTTAATAATTTTTTAAATATTTATTTATTTATTTTGCAAATGTTTGTGAACACCCAATAACATTTTAAAATACTCGGCAACTTTATCGATTTATCGGGCATAAACGCTGCACTTCATATTATAACGACAATAGTAAGTAGATAGGTAAATAATTCAAATACCTTCTCCAACATTATGCTTATTATTACAGCACGGTCACAGAAATATATCGAATGTTGGCAAAAACATATCATTAACGAGACTTCAAAGGAAATAATTGGACATAGTTTAGATAACTTACCGCCGATATAAATGTTGACAACGGGAAAAAGAAGCACGGAAACAAATTTCTGCCACATTAACTTTATTTGAGATGTCAACACACTGTTAGAGCACTAGAAACGTAGGTATTCGCGTCCACCATTTTTATTCCTTTCCCACTCATTGCTCTATCCCCATTCCATCACTGAACTGTGACGGTTATGGTCATTATAAGTTATGATTTGTATTTGCTGCTTGAAATTTCGTAGCTCCTTTCATTCCTACAAGGTTTCCAACAGTTTAAAAGCTATAACAACCGTAACGACGATAACCTTCTCAGCTCAGCGGCGGAGTGGGAACAGAGCAAGGAATGGAGAAAGGAGTAAAAATGGCGAATACGCGAATACTCACGTTTATAGTGCCTTACACACTGCACGACACTTATTGGCGCTGCGCTCGCACGACGGATTGCAAAATTAGGGGGAGTGCGCAGTGTCTCCCTCATGGGCCATGTGTCCCGGATTTACCTTAATAGTGTCTCTGACAAATTACTATACCTTTCTATTATTTACAAGTTTAATTTAACATAATTGATAATTTAATATTGAATTAAAATATTAAATCACACAATACACAGTCATAAGAGTTTAAAATTCTTTGCTTATTATTTTCCGATATTTTTCAAGAATTTATCTGTTGGAATGATTTTTATGTTATTTATCCCAATGGGAGATCTTATAAAATTACCGAAATTAAATTATCATTGTCCATTTTGGTGTTTGAAGATTTAACCGGCGTTTATATACAATCGAGAAAATTCGTTTCGATTAATTCACTCGCACCGGTATATGTGCGGACAAGCCGGAACCTGTTTTTACTATGTGCGATCTTACAAGATAACACGCATATGTTCTTGATGTCGATCGGCACCGATCAACATTGATTGTCGGAAAGCAAAAGACCTGTTTCTTCTGTGCTCGTATTCTAAGTATATATCGACCTCGGTATGTTTCATTACTCCTGAGTCATCGTTACTCATTTATTCCTAGCTCATTATGTAGTTTTATCTTTCGCCTGCACAAACGAATTTGACATTATGCACGGCCTGTCGACATAAGACTACACACATCGCGCAAATCTCTGTAAAACGTTTGCGACAGCACATTCTTAAATATTTAACAAACAATTAATTAATCGCAAGACATTGTGAGAACATCTATACGCGTGTGATATCGTTTGTTTTCTTTAGCGCCCTGCTGAACAAATCGTGAAAATTTCCAAATTCGTAAGTATGTGTGGAAATTCACGACAAAGTTAATTGCTATCATACCTCATTTACTCGTAAATTGAACACAATTTAGTCTTTGAAGAAATAACACCCGTTGTGTTACAACTTTAGTAAGAAATCGTATTTTGAAGACATTAAGGTGCAGGTTTTCCTGCAGTGTGAAAATATTATCAATAAAATTTCAGCAATAAATAAATCGAAGCAAAGCGTCTACAACGATACATATCACACAAATATTCACAATAATAATCGTGTTTTAGATAATCAAAAACATGTGATTCGAAGGAGACCAATTTTCTTCGAAAACTTTCGCAATCGAATAAAAAATACAAATATAAACGATTGTAGCCAAACATAAAATAAAAAACATATTTTTCAAAAACGCTTATGAGATTTCGAATTCGTACATATGTGTAGAAACCAGGGTTGGTAAAGACTAATGTTTTTTTTTAAGAATAAAACATTATGTTTCTTCTTGAATATGTTTTTAATGCTTCAAATATGCTTTGAACAATACTATAAAAAAAACATATTTAAAACATATTAAAAACATCAATTAAGCATGTTTTAAACTGTTTAAAACACGTTTAAAACATTTTTTTTACCAACCCTGGTAGAAACCATTTCGCACGGCTGATTCATTTCGATGGCACAATGAATCGACGAAACTTCTCTGATCGTCACCAGAATATTTTGGGAAACGATAAAATTTATGTACCATGCTATCTTCTCCATCGGCTATCTTCTCGCTCGTGTTGGCGAGTAAGTAAAATATACCGAAATATATCGAAAGTTCCGCGTCTTGCTTGCGGGTCTCACAGCTGCGCGGTGCACGCGTTAGAAAAAATGCGTATGGAGGTCCCTTGCGGTCCTACGCTAACGATGGCGGCGGTATGAATGCACATCAATTAAACCAAACTATGCTCGCGCGTATCGTAATGATGTGTGTATAAAATGGAGGAGCTTGGTCCTGGCAACGTGACGGACGACGGTGGCGTAGTGGTGTTCGAGCACGGCGGAAACGATGACAACGCAGAAGGCGATGCCCTCCTCGAAGCAATTAGTACCTAGGTGTTGTGATCCTGCTTGTGCATCTTGTTCTCCAGATTATTGGACACCGGCCGACTCACGAGGTCCTCGAGCTCGTCGGGCGTCAGGACCGTGAAGTCCCTGCCGATACAATGAGATCATGTGGTGAATCACATCACATGGAATCACATTTCTAGCACATGAGTAAGGAAGCATGATCGCCTTTGCGAAGCAAAACTTCGAAATAGACTTTTTAAAAAATGTTTTGCAATAAGAAACACTAATGACACAGTAAATCATTTCATCTTTGTTGAATATTATCAAACAATAAGAAAGAAATGATTCACTGTGTTACACTGTGTCAACTATGGCCTAATTTACATCGTCACCGACGAGATATTATTAAAAACAGTCGGTCTTGGGCAAATTTTCGTGACTATCTATGGGACCTCGGGGGCTCGAGGATGAAGAACGATGATATTATCAACAATTAATAAAAATTTGCGATTAACATAAATATTTTGATTGTAAATTATTATTAAGTTTGCGATGTTTTATTATATAAATGCTGTATAAATAAGTATACATATAATTTTAATGCTATATCTTACATATATTGTCGAAAAATTACAATTTTTTCCCTAGTTGTTATCTCTATTAATAATCAAACTTGGATGATAACATTAAAATCAGTTTTAAATAAAAATCGAGTATTATTAAGTTTTAAATGTATATACATGTTATGAAACTAATAAATCATGAAATTAGTATCATATTATCAGTTCCTTACTCTTATGCCTGGTTGCACCAATGTTACTTTGACTTTAAACGAAATTTAAAATCATGGTGGAAGAGATAATATGGTGTGTGCAGTTGGACAGTGTCTCTTTCTAAATCCCTGCTCTCTCTCCGTCTATGGATTGTTCATATAGTGCAGAAGGCTACCAACTGTGAAACGCGAAACATGGGGCGGTATTCATAGTTCGTTCTTATTTTAAAACTGTCTTAAATAATGTCTTAAGATGCTAATACAGTCCTCGGATTGACTTATGATATCTTAAGACTGTACTTAAGACAGTCTTAAATGTAAGAATCGATTATGAATACCGGTCTGTTTTGCGTCGTGAAATTTCTTATGCAAGGAAAGATTCAGTACTAATTTCACGACGCAAAACAGGCCGGTATTCATAGTCGATTCTTACATTTAGGACTGTCTTAAGTACAGTCTTAAGATGTCATAAGTCAATCCGAGGACTGTATTAGCATCTTAAGACACTATTTAAGACGGTTTTAAAATAAGAATGGATTATGAATACCGCCCCATATTTCACGTTTCACAGTTGGTAGTCCTTCCGCACTAATGACGACGAGGAGCAAAAGTACGCGTGGTTTAGCCGAACTGCACACACCATGTAATCTTTCCATGCTTAAAACTCGAAAAGTTTTCATCTCCAAACCCTCATAACTCGGCCAAAACAAAAATTATACAGGAATAAAAAAAATCGCAATTTCAAGACAAAAAATAGTGTTTTAAGATGTCGCTGAGAGAATGTTAAAAACATAATTTGATCAGTCATAACAACGCCTTGAAAGTGGTAAAAATGTTTTTGGCCGATATTATCCCATTTATCTCAAAAATCTGACATGGTGGATATTTTTCGCCGACGGATTCGGATTCAGCGACCAAAATTATGTAGAAAGTCGTTACTGTAATTTTTATATCTTTTAGGACCCTTATAAATTTGTAGGCTTGTGTAATTTTTAAACTTTTGATCGAAAAATTTTATTGATAATTAATTACCTACTCATATTCACAGATTATTGCCGGATTACTCAAATTTTGATGTAATATTTCACAGAGATTTATTTTACAAATGTGTTTTTAAAAAATCTGTTATCTCTCTATAATTATCTATGATTCATAATAGTCTTTAAACAATCTATAACTTTTTTTAAATTCATATAGTCGGTTGATCTTCATACATTTATGAAATAAAATTTTATATTGCATGCGTGCGTGCGGATGGATGGGTGAGTGAGTGGATGTGTTCGTTTTTTTAACCTATGAGTGGTTACTAATAAAGCTGTGAAACACTTTTTCTACATTTTCAACGTACCTAATGCGGGTAGCGATGCTTGAAGACTGTGAATTAATGAGAGTTTTTCTATTTGACAGGCTGAAGATCGATATCTTTTTGAGAAAAGAAAAAGGAACGGAAAAGGATTTGTATACTTTCGCGAAATAAAAAGTCAAAGAACAATTCATTGATTGACCACTTTACCTATGCTGGGCGAGCAACATGTCTATACTGGTGACGCTGCGCTGATGAGTACTTTCCTTTTGAGCCACGTTCTGCCTTTTGATACAAATCGCTCGCAGTGGTGCGAGAAATGCTCCTATTACTAAAAGACTGCTTCCTGTGGCGATCAAAGCTGCTGAGTTCTGGGCAGCCTCTGCACCCGGTGCGAGTTGTACCAAACCGACGACTAGCACCACCGCTCCCATCAGCAAGGAGCCGACGACGACGTACAGCGAATTGACCTAGAGTAATATCAGGTGCTTTCCAATTATAAAATCTCTAAATATTTTTGTGTACACGCTGACACAAGTTGCATTCCAATTGCCGTAATCATCGACACAACGCTACACATTCGTACTCAGCCTGAGAGCTACTATAATTGACTATACATATAAGTTTGCGTTTTATAGTGATAATGTTACTAATCGCGACGACTATAAATGAGGTTAGAGGATGTTGAGTGGTCGATACTTTTGCTTTTTTTCATTCAATAAGATGAAACAAGCTACATTTCATTAAACAATCTAATTCTATCCGAATTGGACCGAAACTGTACATAGCGTAGGTATATACATATTCTGTTCCAATGTCACACTTCCTGTATATATTTGTGTTAAGAGGTATTAAACATTTGGAAAGCATCTATCGTTTAATATGCGTCCCCCCTAACGAACAATAGCGAGGAACGGCAAAATGAGATAAGGTTCTTACCTGTCCGCAGAAATAATACTCCGGGGGTTCCTTATCTATCGTTAGTACTGCCTCGCTTTCCGCCAATGGGCTACCCGGCTGACTATTTCCTATCCGCGAACTTTTTTCCTGGTAATAAGTCTTGTGAAAGACCTTCACCGAAGGTACTGGTAACGCCGTGATCATTCTGAAACGAGATTATGTGAAAACATGAAAAGTTCCAGAAACGAGCGATGCAAC